ACACACACACACACACAGATAGCCTCTTGCCAATATGCGTTTTTATATTTACATATATGCGAAAATCCATAAAAATGGTTCTGAAGTACCGCCGCTAGTTATGCGTTTTTGCGTATATGCAAATGCGAAAAAGCATATTGTGATGACCCATGGTGCGCGTGTGTGTGTCTGTGTGCCTGCTAAGTTGGTGTTTTCGGCTAATTTGTTAAGCGGTTTTGGAAGTTCTAGTAAATAAGTATAGCATTCGTCCTAAGTTCGCTTTTTAATTTAGAAACACGCTACAAACTAGATAGACTTTGATATGACTAGGCTCTACGAATTTGGGTTTATTTGCTTTTTCTGTTCTGGAGCTTTAAAAATAACAGTAGTAACTTATAATAAGAGCTCGAGTGAGTAAAAATTGGTATAATGCTAAGTTAATACATGTTGTAATTAATTTCATGGCAAGTTAAATTCCTGAGATTTTGACTGAGAACTAGCCTACTCCAAAACTTTTGAAAAGCATGGTTGAGAATGAAACAAAATGGCGCTGCCCCGGATACATAAGACGAAAATTCAGCTGCCGTTTGTACGAAGCACAAAAAGCTGTGGATCAGAGGCGTAATATTGAGTCGTTCGGACACGCAGGCATTATGCAAAGAAATAGTTCTGCCAAAGTAAGCTGGGCACAAGACGCATGAAAAGTATTGCCCACCTTCTCCACGTATTGATTTGTGCCAAGCTACAACAGTTTTTTAAATGAAAAGATTTCTTCAGCAGAGAGCCAATAATGGCACGGAATCGACACGCTGATGACATTCTCAATGTGAACGTTGGCGGCAAACGATATACGGTCCGTCGAACTGACCTTTTGGTCGATCCGAAAAGTAAACTGGCCGACTGGTTCAAGCCAGGTACAGTGAAGCCGATCGCCACCGATAAAGGAGGTTTGAATCCCCTCTCCTAGTGCACTTTTGTTTTCTTTGTTTCCGGAGTGGAAGTTTTTTTTTCGGAACCGTAAGAAAATATTATTTGGAATGAAAGCTTTGCAAAAATTTTAAGCCAAACTATTCACGTTTTTTGGTGCTCGATCAAACTATTTTAACACAGAGAAACAGAACTTTTTAATGGCATGGCGTCGAATGAAAATACTCTCGAATACTTCATCTGTATTTGGGTTCTCAAAGAGTTTCAAAGCTTTAGCTTGAAAACCTTTCTAGTTGCCTTTTTAATTGGAAAACGA